CAGCTCACAGATGAGGTGCAAAGGGAATCCGGTGGGTCTGTTCACGCTGATCTCAGTGGAGACGGTGGGGACAGAGCACGCACACAGCCACGGGAAAAGTGACCGGCAACCACGCGGTACCCACAGTGAATGCAAAGGGCTAAAGAAATGGATCAAAGACTAATGACAGCCTCTATATGACAGAAAAAAACACTCAAGAAATAGAACAGTGTGAAACACTGCTGAATTCAGAAAAGTGAAGTCAGTAAAACCAGACCAGGTGAGAAAACACAGAGCGAGGACGGTGACCACCACAGCGCATGCAGGAGATGCGCCCACGTCAGCCCTCTACTCCTGGCAGTCCCGCCCACTAGGTGCTGTTAAAAACGTAGGGTCAAGAAACTGCTCCACTCTGGGGCTGACTTGTCCTCTATGAGGCACTACACTTTGGCCATAATATCTCTTCCCTATCAAAAGGACCCTGGGAGTGGTGCAGGGGAGAAGAACGTTGATGCTTCACACGACAGAAAGACCGCGAGGGTTAACCTTAACAGTTAAAGATACAACAGCCACCAATTGAGTGTAAAGAAGACAATGCTAATTTGGACTAATTCTCTTCCCAGGGACTCAGAAGGCGCTCCCAACTCCTCCTATGAAAGAGGAAGTGGCATGTAACTCAGAAGTAGCAAGTGTGGCCCAGACAATACACTTCCCAGGGCCCGCTGCTAACTTGGAAATCCAAACCGCGAAAAAGCAAGCCAGCAAGTGTAAAAGGATCTGCCCCCACTTGGTGGGACTCTGCAAAGCTCCAAGTGGAACAGAAATGTACAGCTAAATGAACAACTTTTTGTGGCATGGTTTAATTCTTAAGATAGCTGTGTGTCATGAAGACTCTCTCAAAATCAACATGACAGACTTCTGTGCTTACTACTGAGTGACTCGGTGTTGCCCCGACTGTCTCCTTTAACAACCTGAGAAAGTACTAGCAAAGCAATCAACGCCTGCAAGGCTAATAAAGAGCCAGGCTGTGAACGGTCGCAACAGCTTTATTTCTAACAGCCAAACTGGGAAACAAGCCAGACGCCTTTCAATCCTTCTGCAGTCTTCCTTAGCACAAGCTACAGACTTTCGGCTCCCAACGATGTCTACCTCTCATGAGCCACCCCAACTCGAATCTCATCTGTGCCCCAACATCCAGTTGGAAGTCCTTCCTCTCTCACAGCATTTACGTGGTAACTCTCACAAATGTCTCCTCTCTACCACCAGACAGTAACACACACCTCGAGAGCAGGAGCGCGCCCTCTAACTTGGCATGCTGCCTCGTACCTCACAGGGCTCAACCAACGTCAGGTAAAGCACGTCTTTCTGATGGAGTCAATCTGAGATTGCTAAGTGACACACTTACCTCCTAGAGGTAAAGTCCATGACTTAGTAACCCTGCGCCCAAATAAAGGACCCAAGACCTAACAGGTGTAACAGGGAACATTTAAACTGAACGTCTTTACCTTCGGTTCAAGGATCAGTTCCACACGCTCATTAGCATCATCTTCTTCAGAGTCTGAGTTTCCTGCTTTTATATCGAGCTGCTCGAATGCACTGTCCAATACTTGTAAACCATAGTTCACAGCCTCCTGCACTTTAGGAATAAGATCTACTTCCTTCTGTTCCCGAGTCTTCTCCTAAAAAACAAATACCATGCAGTATGAATCTCCAATATATGGATATCACCCAAAGAAAACACTGAATGTTCGCTAAAGCCTAGCCTTGCGCTAAAAAAAAAAAAATTTAAAATATCAAAGTCAGATTCTCCTGAATGCCTTGACATAGACTTCACAGCAAGACTGCAAGTTTTAAATACCAAGTGTGCCACTTTCTGGACGTGCATCAAACTACCTAAGGTCCTAGAGCTCCTGTTTCATTGTCCACAAAATCAGAAGGGCAACTATT